GGCCTTTAGTGATCTGCTACATTTTCGGTAGCATGTTTCAGCGATTGATATCCCACAATTGCATAGCTTATACTATTAATGATTAATTAACTCTCTTCTCCTCCATAGACTTTTAAGAGAAGATCATTAACTGAACAATCTCTCATGTATGAGATATCACAAAATAACCTTTTTGTTTTTCACTAGTAGGTATTTTAGTCTCTGAGATAAGTCTCTAAGGTGCAAGCTTGCCAGGTATGTTATACATTTCAGTGCCTCAAGTACCCTAATTCCCAAGGCAATCATATATGTACATATTAACATTTTTTACAGGTTTGAAAGCCTGGCCATACCCCTCCCTCTTTTAAGCCTTAGTATTGCCAATAGGGCTGTCAATTGCAGAGATGGGTCAGGTTTAGAAGTGGAATGGGATGAGGCCATGTCCTTAGTCCAGGAAGATGGGTTAATATGTGTAAATGAGAATGCCTTGGGATTTGGAGAACCCATGGCGCCAGAATGATTGATGGACCTAATCTTCAGCATATTAAGTAGAGTTGTTCATTAGTAGGTGTTTTATTCCACAATAGGTTTGATTTAAAAGTCACACTCCACTTGCGTTAATACAGCATATATCAATATACTAAAATAAGATTATGATTCTGAGTAAAAAACAAAAATGACCTCTTTCTTACTTCAAATATGTAAATCTACTGATCACAAGCTCCCTCATGTGACCTAACATTCAAGAAAAGATCACATGGCCCCTGGTTTAGAGGAGCATTGTGGGTTATTCATGTCATTAGAGATGGTCTATTGTCATTGTCAACAGAAACAAGGTTTTGAAATGATTAATCCACTTTTGTAAGACTTTGGGGTGTATTAATAAACAATTTAAAGGGCCATTTGTCCTGCAAAACTCATTGAACATTCATTCTGTGCAAATGGAGCCCAAAATTAACCTTTCTACATTTTCTTTCTAATTTAAATGTACTACATGTAAAATACCGCATTATGGCCACCAGATGAGTATAGGAAATAGAAATAAGGAGTTCTTTCCTTTGCTTCTCAGCTCCATCTAGTGCCCATAGTGCGGTATTATATGACATTCAAAATTACATTGACCTTACAAAGAAAATATACTAAGAACGTCTATTTTTTGCATCCATTCGCACAGAAAATTCACATTGATGCAGAGGGCGAATTGTTTTTATAGCCCTAAGTGATCATAGTAGTCATGTACACAGTAGTCATGTACATATCTAAAAAAATAAAAATAATACAGTTACCCTTTATTATATGAACTGTGTCATGCTTTAGGTGTGCTGTAAATCTCTTTTGTACACAACATTTATTACAGAACAGCTCTCCAGTCACAGTGTGATGCTTGCCTGATTCATATGTTTCTAAAGCTACCCAGATTTACAACAGTTATCATTTCATCTTTATTTCCCAAATATTGAATAATGTTTGTAAGAGTGGCAATACCTTGTTACTTTTTTTTTCCTTCACTGTTTTAATATTCTGCTCGGTAGCACGGAGGTATCAAGCAGAATAGCCGAGCCGAATGCCGCTCGTCGGCATTCAGCTATTCATTCACTGCTGTTCTGCCCCTATGAGAATAGGCCAAACAGCAGCGAGTAGCCTGCCGGAGGTTCGGTTTAGCCGATCTAGATGTTGAGTCGAACTCCTTCTGCACCTCGGCTCGGCCGAACATGCAGAGCACGTTCGGCCCAACCGAAGCACGCCGATGTAGGGCTGATTTCAGCCATTGTACGGCTGAAATCAGCCCTACAAGCCTTAAGTGAATAGCCGAACAGCGTTCGGTTCACTTCATTGCGTGTCGGGTGTTCACTCGGCTGCCTACGACAGCTTTGTGAATAACCCTCACATTGTTCTTGCCTCTTCCTGTGAGCTGAACAGAAAGCACAAACAATGTTATGTTTCTTCTGAAATCTCCCATGTAATGAAGATAAATAAATGCAGATAAATTTGAGATCCAGCCTGGGTGGCAACAATGGCTCCCTCCATATATACAGTGGAGGGGTGAGTGTAGTCTCCCAGAGACAGCAATTGGGATATCTGCAGACATACCAGGTGAAAATAAAGGGGACAAATCCTGAAAACAACTAATGCAGGCACCTCATCTAAGGCTACGTTCACACCAGATGCAGTGCATTCCGGTCCGATTCTGGCCAGAACGCACTGCATCGCATTGCGGTTGGCTCACTTTTTGGTGGGGCAGGAGGGCGGGCCATTGAAGTGAATTGCACGGTAGCCACGCCCTCCGGCCGCAATGCGATCGCCCGCACAGGATCGCAAGGCTCATTGTGCCTGCGTTCCGGTGCGATCAAAATAGTGCTTACAGCATCCCATGCGGGCGATTCACTTCAATGGCCCGTCACGCCCCCTCCTGCTCCACCAAAAAGTGAGCCGGCCGCAATGCGTTGCAGTGCGTTCCGGCCAGAATCGGACTGGCATGCACTGTATCTGGTGTGAACGTACCATAAGGACTAGCAAGCTGTAATATTTTATATTTTTGTTCTTGGGTTTAGATGCACTTTAATGGCAAAAACTATTGTAGTAGACAAATGCTTATTGGTTGCTATGGGTTCTGCAGTTCGCCCCATTCGAGGAACTGCTAGACACACATACATGTCCTATACACAGCTCCCGTTGACATTAACAAGCAGTTAACCTTTACAGTGCCCGGGTAGCCCCACTGCAAGGGGAGGTTTGTTCCCCCTGAAGATGGGCTCTTTGCTTAGAAGTAACAAATCTGCAGACTCACTTAAAAAGGTTGTTTTATGCTTTAATCTCGATAATTAATTTTTATTATTATCTACAATATCCAGACGCAGATCAGTGTCATTGGCTCCAGAACTCATGCAACTTCCTCTTACAAAGATATACCAGAAAATGTCCAAACCAATGGACCTGATTTATCAGAGATTAAGCACATACATGTATTATCATGAATGGACAAGCAAAGCATATCCTTGCAGTGTTTCTAGTAAGTGCCCATGAGGCATGTGGGGACGCACACACGGGCTCCATGATACATTTGACTTTCCTGCCACAAGAAATGTGCATGTTCCGTTCATGTAGAAACAAAATATTTCATATTGCACAAAAAGGAAGGTATTATTGTTACAACACATTTTGTTTTTTTGCAGGAGGGTATTATAGTTTCCATGCACAGAAAGGTAGTTTTTAAACACATTCTGCTCACGTACACGATTTCATATGCCGGTACCTCTGAAGAAGTTTCTATGGATAAATACCTACACATACCTTGCCTTTTTTCCCTTGCTTGCCTTGTATATGACATTTTTTTGACATGTCCTTGGCATGCCTTAACTGTCCTTGATGCATGCACAATTCATTGCTTAGTAAGCTGGTCACATTTTTAAAATTATTTTAAAATTATTTAAGTATTATTTTTTTTAAAACAACACTTTTCTTGCAAATAAAATCACGCACAATCCTTTGTTTTTCAAAAGAGAAGGCACAAAATAGCAATATTTGGATGTTCAACATGCATGACAAACTAGAACTGCACAATACACATTCAACATCGTAATTTGTTGGGTAGTTTCCGGCATCATGTCCGCTAAGTCCGCTATCTTCAAATACTTTTGCCTGCCAATGCAATCCTGCAGAATAGTATCCGAATGACATTTTGGTGCTTTTGTCCATTTCCTTTAATCAAACTGTTCATTTCATTCAGCCCTGACTGCACAGTACACGCCAAACTTCTGACACTGAGACTTACCGTCCCAGCTCTCAAACAGCACATATATTGAAGACTATGCGGGTTGCTCATACTCCACCTCCTGCATTCATAAAGCGTCTTGTATTATTTTCAGAGAATATAAGGTTCTCTGTAATTGAATGAGGAGGAGACAGGGACGTTTATTCGCCCCTCCCTTAATCCAATCACAGAACACCTGTGATATAGATTTTTTAATGAATGGAGGAGGTGGAGTATAAGCAACCTACAAAGCCTATGTATGTTTGATGCTTACTGTACTGTTGTCATAGTTGAATAAAACTTACAGTTTCAGCGCATCATGGGACATGGGACACATTACATTAGAGGAGATTTATGGGACATAGCGAATGCAAAAAAATTATTTTTAACTGAAGCTCTGCTTCAAAGCAATAATAGTATTATAGGAAAGATCAGGTCAGTTCTGAAATCGATTGAACTTTTTAAATGTATACTGCTATTGCAGGGTAAGCTATGATCGAAAATTCACTCAGCTACTAAAAGAAATGGAAAAAACCCCACTATGGTAAGCTCTCACGTGCAGGGCCCTCCTAACCCTCTTGTGTTGAATTGTATTGTAACTGTACTGTCTTCCTTTATATTGTAAAGTGCTGTGCAAACTGTAGGGGCTATATAAATCCTGTATAACGCTAATGGTACCCATCCATTGTAGGCTCTGTTAGCAGAAGTTTAGCTTTTATGTAACGTTTCTTCTAGAGGTGGCTCAGAATATATGATTTACCCACCTCTGTGATCACATCCTCCTAAATGATCTGACCACAATGCCACATGCCCAGACATACCTACAATTCTGACATAGTTTCATCTGCTCTGTACTGTAGATATATGTGCACAAATGAATGATGCAGGACTTGCTCCCATGTAGTGAGTGCATCATTGAGCTTCAGGCTTTCAGATACAAATATCACAGGCACTTTTAACCCTTCCTTTCACTCAGCTTAGTTGGAGTACTTCTTGAAGAGAGGACTCTTTTCTTGCACCCACCCAACACGCCTCTCACCTTCTGTCTCATTTGATAAACAGGAGATCCTGTGCTGTGTGACTTTGCCTTTGCCTCTGAGTAATGGTGTTGTGGTCCAGGCATGAGTTATATTGATGGCTAACTAAGAGAGAAAGACGGGCAGCAAGGAAAGGAGTGAGAACCAGAAAAAGGGGGAGGAGAGCTCAGGCAGGAGGAGAGAAGCAAAAGAGCAGCTGCTACTGGCTCTGCATTTGCTCTTTCGCTATCGTGATCCAGTTTCTCTGCTGGTACCCAGCTTGCACACATCCTCAGCATCCTTCACCACTTAAGTGTACCTGCCCTGCTTGCCTCAGCCTCCTACTTATCCTTGTGGACTGCTGCCTGCCCTGCACTGGATCAAGTGTCCTCTGCTGTGAAATCACAGAAGCCCTGTGGATTTCTGTATGTCCACAAAGAGCAGGAAATGCAAGGAGCTGCCCGCTGCCAGGGTCAGCTTCCCGGACGTGGGGGAAAGCGGGGGATGGCTTGCCAAGAATGGAGGGCAGTGGGCTCCCCTGCCTCAACCAAGGGGAGTTCTGGTCTTGCCTGCGGAGAGCAGCTCTTTCATTGCTGGGGGGTCTCATAGTGACTGCTACCACTTACACTCGCTGTGAGTATACCTTACATCACTATTTTATCCCACAGGAGAGAGGAACCAGGCTGTCAGGATGGATAAGCAATCAGGCACTTTGTCATGAAGTTACCTTACACTTGAGTACTTTGCTACACAAACTCCATCTTTAGGTTTACTTTACCACTTCATGTGGTGTATTTAAAGCAGATCTAAACACTACAGATTACAATCTTGTATTAGCTTTAACACGTTCATGTAATTTCAAAAGTCGTTTGTGATGATTTTAAATCTTCAGCATTCTCTAAAGAAAATACCCAGTAATCCTGCTATGTAGGTCCTCGTTCAGGATCTTCTTGCTGTGGGTTGACAACTGTCTCCTAACTGTACTCGTGTTGTCAACCTGTCATGCATGTCCCTGAAGAAGACTATAAGCTGCTGCTACAACACATCGCACAGGCATGGTCCTCTATAATCACTAGCAGCAAACTGGTCCTTAACATTGATGTGCATCTGATGGGGGCACCAGTGCATGTAGCCAGGAAGTGGCTAATAGAGGCTGGAGGAGATCAGAAGCACTGGGACACCAAAAACAAAAATAAATACAATATATATTTATTGTATTTATTTAACCATGGTGTTTGTTTATGATACACAGAGATTTAACTAAATATTATCATGTTGGGTTTAGACTTTAAAAGCATACTGATATTTTGAACATTCAGGCTTCAAACTGTCACTTTTGATACTATGTTTCTGTGCAAAATCAGTGATGTGCAGCCACACATGCAGAACAGCACCGGGCACTGTGTAACCTCCCAGCAGTGTGTCATTCACAGCAAAAACACATCTAGAATTAAGTAGAATGTATGGGCAGATCAGCAACGTCCATGAGATGAATGGGCATTGCGAACGGTTCCATTTTGTAATTATTTTCTTCTAAACACTGTATGCATATCAAGATGTTTTATTCAGCCATGTTTTACATAAGTAATTTGTATTGGAATGACTTGCAGCCTTTCCTGATTGTATCAGTGACTTATGAATGAACTTGAATAATCTTATTTCTTGCCTGTGACACAGTTAAATTGCTGCCAGTGGATCTGTAAGGACAATTATGTCTTGCCACAATTCATGAAAATTTTGACAGAGCACATTTTATTTATTCAAGTCAAATTGAAATAAAAAATGACAACATTATTATAATAATCAGTTATTGTTTCCCGTCACAAATTTAGACGTTTTATTAACACAGGCTTACTCAAAAAAAGAATGCAAGGATCAATAGTGATGTGCAAGTGCAGACAGCAACCAATCAAAAATGATCACTTACTTTACCTACAGTATACAGAATCGTGATTTTATATTATTGGTTACTGTACTCACCATGGCTCTTTGCATGTTTATAGAATATGACCAATTGAATGCTTTTTCCTTTTAAAGCAGAAAGATTAAGAATAAATAGTTGTATTTCTTGTTTAAAGAGAAAGATTAAGAATATAATAAAAAATAACTACTAGATATACTTTAATGAGAAATTAAATATTTTGAACATTACAGAATAAGTCATTAAATGTGACCAACTACCACCAGCTATACCATGACCTGGATAAATGAGAACCTTCACAGAAATGAATAGTAACATTACTGTAGTGACCATCTGGAGGGAGTTAAATCCTTATTCACAATCTCACTAAACTTTGATATAACTTATTCTTCTACTGCATGTATTTAAAGCTACATTGCTTATAAAGGCAGATGATAGTAGCATTGCATAATTTGATGTCTATGTTTGAGTCTTCCTGTAGGCTTCCTAAAGGACAATTCTAAAAAACTGACCATGCGTGCGGATGAGATTAGTTAAAATGACCCTGGAGTTCCCATGTGTATAATTCTATAACATATGCCAATCGGTTGATGCTGAATTGACAATATTTGCATCCCTCTGGAGAGTGCTATTCTATCGATGGCATAGAATAGTAAAAAAAAAAAAAGAACTGCAAGGATATGAACGGTTTCTTTATCATCTGTGGCACAGTCACTTAATGATGTGATCCTCGGTTGTTGTAAGATGTTTTCAAATTTCAGAGATCAATATTTGGCTTATGACTCCTGCCTCTGATGTTGAACACACCACCAAGGACATAGGGCTGGTACTCTAATGATGCTGCTTGTCTCAGGAAGCAAGTTCGCCTCATTTTCTGGATAGGGCTGCATTTTTAAGATATTGTTAGCGAAAATCCATATTTTCTTGCTGTCACATTCTGAACTAGCAGTTAAAGTCTGAGATTTAAATGAAAGCTTATATCTGTAAGAAAGAAATAAAAGGTACCCGTAAATGATTATGTAAGGCTTGTGTGGGGAAAATTAGCTAATTTCTGTGGTAGCTGCTATGGGCATCAAAGTGTCATGCTTTAGCCATGAATGCCAAAGGGCTGACCATATGTCCCGTTTTAAACGGGACAGTACTGTTATTGCTTCATTTGTCCCCTGCCCCGTCGTTTCTTTAAAAAAAAAATCAATTTTGTCCCATTTTCCTTTGTAGGCGTGCGCTCTGAGTCTGTGCGCCTCCTTAATGAGACCGGCCGCCTGCATTGATATAAATGTTAAGACGACCACAACTGCGGCTGGCCTTAACTTCTACAGCGTGCGGCGCATGGTGTAAGGTGGCGCACAGAGCGCACTCCTAAGAGGTCTCCGCCGGTGCTCATTCTTTCTCTGCGGCTGCACTGACTGGGAGGAAGTTACGTATAGGCGCACAGAACTCACTCTGCGCTTATATGTAACTTCCTCCCAGTCAGTGCTGCCATGGAGGAAGAATAAGCGCCGGCGGGGACTTTAGGCAGCCATTTTATATGATCAACAGCAGAGCTTTTATGTCAGCAGGGCAGTGCTGCAGAGTGTTAAGAAATCTCAAGGTTAATGGCATAGTTCTCTGCCCCTCAGATTGACACAATGGAAGCATATGAGGCAGTATGGGAAGGGGGAAAGGTGCAGAAAGAATGCACTGCATTGTATGAGTTCTGTCGCTGAAGAATAATTTGATTGTTGAGATGAGCATTTGAATTCGGACAAACTGCTAAATCAACGAATTTCTGTCAATACAGTAGTTCATCCGAATTACTATATACCCGAATATACAAATTACTATGGGGTCTATTCACTAAGCTACCGTAGGCAGCCGAGTGAATGACCGACCTGAAGCGAAGTGAGCCGAACGCTATTCGGCTATTCACTTCAGGCTGGTGCAGCTGATTTCAGCCGTATATCGGGTGGCTTCGCGTGGCTTTGTGTCGGCCGAACATGCTCAGCATGTTCGGACGACCTCTAAGTGCAGAAGGAGTTCGACTCGCCAATCTAACATCTGGATCGCCTAAGTCGAACCTCCGGCAGAGGCTACTCGCTGCTGTTCGGTCTATTCTTATAGATGCCGAACAGCAGAAACTTTTTTTTTTTTCTAAATTCTGACACTGGCTCCGTGTCAGAACAAAAAAGAAAATGCAGTGTTTCTCTCCTGGGCGGCCGGGAGCGGGAGACTCCCGGGGCGCCAGGGAGAGTTAGGCTGTCTGGAGATCAGTGTCCCTGGTTAGCGGGTAACCAGGGACGCTGATCTCTCCGCAAGTGGCCGGAGCCAGCCGTAACATCACGGCTGGCTCCGCCCAGCTGTCAGAAGCAGGCTGTCGGCCGGCCAATGGCTTCGGCTGCTTCGTGAATATACCCCTATATGTTCGAGCATATACTAATCTTGGTGCATATGTCAGGATGGACACCGGCACTCCAAAGCAAGTTCAGTATGCGTTTATTAACATACTAGTTGTAAGTAGAACACTCTATACAACCTTTCGGGGTTCTCACAGGATCCCCTTCATCAGACAAAGAAGTGCTTTGGAGTGCCGGTGTCCATCCAGCATAATAATACATTTTGTCCAAAACGTTATGGCGTACACATCTACTATATTGTCATAAAACTTTTGTTATCATCTTACATTTTCATAATTATGGAATATTAAAACCGTCCCGTTTTTGCCATCCCAATGTCCCATTTTTGGCTCAAGGAAATATGGTCAGCCTACTATATATGATTTCTGCTAGAATTCACACTTAATGTGTATGGTATCAGGGTTATGTTAGTCATTAGTCATGACACACAAACAGCAAAAATCTAAATTATAATTCTAAGATACTTACACCCCTAGCGCTGGTTGCTTCAATCCAAGGGCATTCATTTATATTGTGTCTTATCCAATGTCCAAGGTCTTAAGACTTGAAGGTTATAAGCTGGCCTTTCAAAAAGAATTCTGACATGTTATTTGCATTTGGGATGATCTCCTTGTTGCTTCTCATAGACAGTATCATAAAGAATAATGGCAAATCAGTTGATATGAATCTCATATGTACGCTATGCTAGCTTCTAATGGTCCCATGGAGAGACTGTATGCAGTGTATACTGCTATACTGCTTTATATGCTGATTCAATCCGTATAGTACAGTCAATCATTGGCTACTGATTGGGTATTGTATATATTATGTATTAGATTGCATAAAATGTCCTACATTACTCAAAAAATCCCATTCAGACTGGTAGAATGTATTTTTTCTCTAACATCACCCGATGTTCACCTTTATTCTCCTTACCTAATACTGTTAGTATGTGTTCCTGCCATTGACATGAAGAGTGATTTACATTGATTATATCCAGGCTTAACTGTAATATGCGCTTTTGCTAGGAATCTGGTGAGCTGAGAACCCCTGTTTGTGATGCTGGACAGGAATACCCAAGCAAGCCCACAGCAGGCTTCTTCGCTAATTTCATTTCAAAAGTATGTCAGCAGTAAGGAGTCACAAACCAAAATAAAGGGAGTACAAATAGGATGAGAAGTCTACAAAACAAATGTTTTAGAAAGTATGCTCCCATTGAAAACTGTGGGGAGTTACATAAGGGCTAGCTGCAAGGTTAATTAAGTGGATTTTCTGAATTTAGCATAGTTGCAGTGTTTGCTGAATAGCTTTATTAGGTCAAGGATTCATTTTAGTTGCTG